AAGTTTTTATCATTGCTGAATTGTGAGGCCCAGTCCCTTCCTTCAAATTTGGTTTTCTACCCCTGTTGCATAGCCTTTTTCATGGGAATTTCAGTTTTCAGAATTTCAATATTCAGAATTTTGACCTTTCAAGATTATGATTTGAGGATTTCATACTTTAGGTTTTGTTGTTGTTGTTGTTGTTGTTCTTGTATCGGGGATCCAACTCAGGACCCTATGTTTGTGAGGCAGGCAGTGGCACCATTGAGCTAAATCCCTGGCCCCACACTTTAGGAATTTTAAGCTTTAGAGATTTTGATCTTTCAGGATTTCAACAGGATTATGGTGGTGTGAGATTACATCGTTTGAGATACTAGGTACCAATAAATAACTGACTGTAATTATTTCTTTGGGCTTAATTTCTTTATGATGGCTCCCATGCCACATAAAATTTGTATTACGCTTTTTCTTCTGTTAATCGATATTGTGTCAATTTAATTATAGGACTCAGCTGGGATCCTAAGAGCATAGAGATGAAGGTTTTTTTACCCTTGCCTTCTCTTACCCCTTTGCCTCGTTTTTCTAGTTTAGTGTCATAAATTGTTTTCTTCCTTGTCATTAGTAGATAAATTGTAAAGGTCTTGGCCAAAATGGATTCCTGCAGTGTTAAGCTTTATACTCCCCCAACCTAAGAGCGAACCGTAATAAGTATTTACCATTGCTGGTCTGATTGTCAATAAACAAGGAGCATCATGAGGGATAGGGAGTGAGGGCTGCAGAGAGCAGTTCTCCATGGTTGGCAACTTGAATAAAACACCCACTACTCTTGTCCCACTTAGTCGCCCATATGGCTAACACAGGTCATCTCTAGTCTCTGCAGAGCTTGATGTCCTCTGCAAAATGAAAACCATCTTCTATAAGAGGCTGGGGAGAGGGAAGAGAGGGGCAGTTTAGGTTCAAAAGCCAAATTCCTAAGAAAAATAGCAAGAGATCACACATAATTTGGATTGGATTGCAGGTTTTGAAGCCAAGAACCCAGAATTAAGTCTATTAATCAATTACGATTGTCTGAGGTATGACTGGGTTCTCTTGCAGTATGAAAGTTGCTGATCTTTTTACTGCATGTGGTCTTTTTGTACTTCATATGGCTGGGAATGCAGTTCAGTGGTGGAGTGCTTACCTAACATGCATGAGGCCCTGGGTTCAAGGCCCAGCACAGAAAAAGTTGGTGATGTGGCTGGGGTAGTAGTGAGCACCATCACTAACCCCACTTAGATTTGTTTCTGCCATGTTGCACCCACAGATTCCATTTTTGAAAAGATGTGGAGTTCTTGGGCAGGTTCCAAAGTCAAACAGAGTAAGCGTGAAAGTTGCTCTTTAGTCATCTATTTCAGCAAATCTAACGATGCTGTCATCTTCAAAATACAAAGTGACTTCCATGGGATCGTGGGCCACAGCACACCCAGGGCGCGTTTGTAGCGGTGAAAAGCTGATGGATCTGGGCTCTAGACCAAGCAACACATTTGTTATTATTTTCATTCTGCTTGGAACCCCCCAGTTGAGCTCCTACTGGTCACATTTCCAGGTGACCATGACAAAATCTCACTGACTCCTGAATTAGTACTTTAGTTTGAATTCTGTGGTGAACACATGTAGCACAGTGAACACACATAACAACCTAACACATTTTGAAAAGGAAAAGTGAGGGCAGCCTTTGCTGATCCAGTTTAGTGGGGCATTTCTTACTCAGGTTGACAGTTAACTATCATGGAAAAATCATTCAGAAACCACTATTTCTTTCCACTGTAGAAGAAAACAAATTCCAGGTGAATTAAAACAATGTTTTCTTTAAGTCACAGTAAGAAAATTTTAAAAAGCCAAATATTTACATGAACTGCAGATTGAAAAGGACTTTAAACACTTATTAAGTAGAAAACTATGAGGAAAGAGTTGCTGGGACACCTAAAAATGTAAAATTTGAGCATATAAAAATTAAAATGATGTGCTATTTATGGTGGCATGTGCCTGTAATCCTAGCACTCAGGAGGCTGAGGCAGGAGGATCACTGAGGGTTCAAGGCCAGCCTAAGCTGCATAGTGAGTTCAAAGGCAGCCTGCACCACTAGTCGAGATCCTATCTCAAAAAAAATTTTTTTAAATTAAGACACTAAACAAGAAAATGACAGGGGATTTAGCTCTGTGGCAACATCGCCTGCCTTGCAAGCACAAGGCCATGAGTTTGATCCCCAGAACACCCCCCCAAAAGACCAAGAAAATGACAAAGAGGGCCAGGGATTTAGCTCAGTGGTACCGTGCCTGCCTAGCAAGTGCAATGCCATGAGTTTGATCCCCCATACCAGAAAGAAAGGAAAGGAAAGAAAGAAGAAAGGAAGGGGTGGGGAGAAAATGACAAAGATTTAATATCCTTTCACTTATTCAGCAAAATTTACTGAGCACCTATTATGTGCTGGGTGTTTTCTCCGTGCTAGGTGTGCGACAGTAGACACTATAGATAAAAATGCTTGTCCTTGTTTTAGAGGAATAGACAAAAAAAAATTAAGAGAGCAGTAAGTTCCCAACAGAAAAATGTACAAAAGCTATGAGCAGACAAGCCACCTCACAGAAAAACTGAGCACCTAATCAATCATGTTTGTGTGTTCCTCCCCAAGTGTAGTCGACATCCTGCAAGCCAGACCTGTGCCAACTGTCCAGCAAGCTCTGAGCCTAGCCCCACTCATTAGTGGCATCAGACCTTTGTCAACAGCTGGTTCATTTGTCAGGTGGCCCTTCAGCAAAGCCTTGCCGTTCCTGCCTCGTGTTTGGGGCTCCAAACCCAGAGCTGGGGCCTGGCCTGGGGTCCTGGATTCTCCACTTCAGATGCATATGGCCTTGGGCAGGAGCTTTAACCTCTAGATTGTGTTAAAGTAGCAAAGTTGGGGTGAGTATTGGATAAGCTGACTGTAAAGTGCTTAGGACAATGCCTAGCACAGGGCAAGCACTCAGTAACAGCTTTTCCTGAGCTCTTTGTGGCTTTTGTGGAGACAATTTACTGGGACAGGAAGAAAAGTCCAGGCCCTGCAGGCAAGTAGGAGCTAGGTCTCTGCTCAGGACTGGCCGGGATCTAAGAATTACAGCAAGTGCCCTCACTGTATGACAGCAAATCATCCATCCTTTGGGACGCTCTGCCCAGAGAGCTCCAAACTGGGAAGTGCCCTTCTCATTGCTTTGATTGATGTGCTTGTCTTGATTTTTTTCATATCCAGATGCAGACCTCCTGCTGACTTTTCGTGAACTTAACTCTTAATGATTTACTAAATTCTGGTCAATTTCTACCTTCCCTGTCTCTTCAGCCAATGGGAAGCAATGGAAAAAGACTTGACAAAAGGCCCTTTTGAACTCCCCAATAATGAATGAAAGGAGAAGGAAATCTTGTTAGCGTCCCTCCCACAATCTTGTTGAAAGCTACCCCTACCATATGCACATTCATTCTTCTGTCTTGGCCTCCTCCTCGAACCTACCCTCAATAACTTCTACGGTCCCAGGTCGTATTTCAGTGTAGTTTAGTCCTGTCTTAGAAGTGGCTCAAGATAGCAAAACTACTGTTCTCCGGGTAAGAGGGAGATTTAGGGTTCATATTCCAAATGGCTGATGTGAAATTTCAGGGCCTCTTGGATCCTTGGCTTGGGAGCGAGTTCATGAATAACTAAGACTAGAAACATCTTCATTATGCCTGTGCCTTTACAAGCACCTCTGGGAGAAAAGTTACATAGAAAAGTTTGACTCTATGCTATTATAGTTCATAAAACTAAAGTACATTTCAATATGACAATAAAAATACAGCTCTTGGGCTGGGGATCTAGCTCAGCGGTTCAGTGGCCTGCCTTGCAAGCGCAAGGACCCTAGTTCGATCCCCGGTACCAAAAAAAAAAAAAAAAAAAAAAAAAAAAAAAAATAAAAAAAAAAAAAAAAAAAAAAAAAAAAAAAAAAAAAAAAACATATGTATATATATATAGTTCTTGGCCATACATATAGCATTTCCAAAAGCATTGAATATGCCCAAATTCCTGCTTTCAAATTTGGAAATTCCTTCCCCTAATTCCAACTTTCCAGATTTTCAAATAGGAATATTATAATTCAACAGAAGAATTCATATTCAAGTGTATTAACACAGCTGTAAAACCCAAAAGAGATAAGATGGATATAGCACATGTATTTAAATTCAGAGACATGTGGATTTAAAAAGGATTTCCTGTTGTACATTTCATTTTAATTGTAAGTAGAGCCCAGTTTCACCTTTATTTTTCCTTAACCTATATTCTTTTTTATAATCCATGTTTAAAGGAAGCATTTACATCAGGCCATTTTTGCCTAACAAAAAAATAACTAGAGAAATACTGGTTAAATAAAACCTCCCAGTGATAAACTACAGGTCAGTTACCTGAATGCCTGAACAGGACACGACAGACAACTGCACCTGGGGAGCCTGACACTGGACATACACTGCCCTCTTAGGGGGCAGCAAGTCCTCAGCCTGCCTGCCAACTGCTGCTATTCGGGTTAGCACGTACAGAAATGCAAGATCTTCCAGTGTCTTCGAGACATGGCAGACATCCTCTTTTTTATGTGCAATCTCCAAATTTTGAAAATTGTGCAAAAATAAAAGCAAAACACCATACAGGCAAACAAACAAAACACGTACCCAGTCTGGAAATGTTTTGTAGCTTACCAGGTAGCGTGCTTTGCAGTTAAAGTCAGCTATGTGATTTTTTTGTTTTGTTTTGAGTTATTTTAAATGCTACTTAAATTTCGTAGCAAATAGAGAATTCTCATAAAGCACTGAATTTGAAGATACAATGTATGCAAGTTGAAAACATTAATAATTTAAACTAGAGAAATTATCCGGATGAGAAGCCTGATGAAAACCAGTAACAACAGCACACAGACAGCATTAATGATTCTGGCAGTTTATGAATCTGGCTAGGGGATTGGGTAACTCAGTAGTTTCTTGCATAAGGATATTTCATGATGTCATATCAGGCCTATGAAAGGATGGGATTTCAAAAGACAAGGTAGCTTGTAAACAGTATGTATGTAAGACCTGTATTTATTTATTTATTTATTTTTGAGACAAGGTCTCACTGTGTAGTTCAGGCTGGCCTTGAACTCACTATACTACACTTGATCTTAGCCAAAAGGCCAAGAAGTGATTGAACTCACTATGTATCCTAGGCTGGCCTCACAATGATCCTCCTGCTTCAGCCTCCCATGTGTCGGGATTATGGGCATAAGCCATCATCCCTGGCTCTAAGTCCATTTTAGCACTCACAATTATATATTTAAGGAACAGGTTAAGTTTGTTCTGGGTATACTGTTTCAGATTAAAGTAACAGAAACTTCCCTCTCCTTTCCTGTTTCTATGTCTACTTCTTGTGTCCAAACTTTCTTCTGCATCAGTCACTTCTCTCCTCCTCCTGGATCAGTTTCATTATAACTATGATAGGGGCAAATCTTAATTATCCAAGATAATAATTCATGTTTGGTTCTTGTGTTAGTTCATTTTGCATCACTATAATGAAATCCTGGAGGTGGGCTAACTTTATGAAGAAAAGAGATTTATTTAGCTCATGGTTTTGGAGGCTGAAAATCTAGAGTATGGAGCAGGCTATAGCAAGTGCTTTCTTGGTTGTATCCCCTCATAGTAGATGGCCGTGGTACCATGTGTGTGTGATGAAGAGATCGGATCATCAAACAATAAGCCATGGGGACATTCCAGTCTTAAGTCCCTTCTGAGGCCACGCCCCCAATGACCTAATACCTCCCACCAGGCCCCACCTCCTAAAGGTCCCATCAGCTCCTACATTACAGTTTTAGAAGTTCTCTTTTGTAACCCTTTAGTTGCATCGTTATGGTGGCCTCAATGTCCTGAATCTATTCAAACCATTTACCTTTCGTGGTCATTTTGACTTTAAGGAAGAGTCAGAAGTTCATGGTGTCAGATCCAGTAAATAAAGTGGGGGAGGTCTCACATTAATATTTTTATTTGACAGAAATTGCCATAAACATTTTGTACAGAGATAGCCACAAAAAGTTACTCACAAAAGATTTCCAAAACTGTTTCAGAGAGTGTCAAGAGCAATGGGGTAAGTGTATTTGAATGGAGGGGGAGTATTTTGAGGGGATTAATGGCAATGTGTCTTCAATGTAACACATTTTTTCAAACATTTCTGTTCATTGATTGTACCTCCTATCTGGGCCCCAGCCCCATCCCTGCTCTCTCTTCCCCTGCCCTCTCTTCCCAGATGCCTTGGGTTGGGCAACTTTCTTCTCTGAACCCTTCCACCATGCCATGATGTTTCTGCCTCAGAGCCAGTAACCATGGACTTGAACCTCTGAAACCATGAGTATAAGCCTTTCTTCCTCTACATTGTGGTGTCAGGTAGTTTGTCCCAGGAGTCTTATATTGACTAGTGATCTCTAGATGAAATATGTCGGTAATTATGTAAGGAGATTTTATTAGGTAAGCTTACAGGATCGTAGGGGGAGAGTCCACAATGGCCATCCATGCACTAGAGAGCAAAAGGATCCAGTAACTGCTCAGCCCAAGAAGGTGGCAGCTGCAGAACAAGAGAGATTAAGGATTCAGCACCCATCTGCGACCAAAGTCCTGCAAGTTCCCTAGAAAGGCACTAGAATGAGTCTGCATTGGAAGGCTGAAGAAACCAGAGTCTGATGTCCACAGGCAATGGCAATAGCAAAAGACTCATTTGCTCAAGCCAAATGGAGCTTTTCAAATGTGTGCCAACTTCCTCCTTTTTTTCCTTTTATTCTATCCAGGCTACCAGCTTATTGTTTGGTGGCACCCACAGTCGGGATGGGTCTGCCCACTCTGTTTGCTGGCCTACCGGCCACTCAACTCTGGAACCGCTGCAGAGACACACCCAGAACTGTATTGTACTGATCTTCTAGGCGTTTCTTAACCAGTCAAGGTGGCAAATCACAGGTGATGGTCACAACCAACTGATGCAATAGCCTATTAAAGGCAGTGGAAAAGATCCCTCACCCGCAACAGAAATGAGGGTTATTTGTAGCCCCGCACATCAGGGTGTTTGTTTGAGGGGAAGGAGACACTGAGATGAAAAGGATGCGGACAGCCCAGCACACTGGGTGTCCGGTGAAGACAAATGCTTGCAAGCAGACGGGCCTGCAGGTTGGCAAGGGGGGAAAGGAACAGGCAGGCAGATGTGCAGGCTCTGGAGGAGACAGAGCCCTGGGGTTCTGCACAAGAACCTGGCAGCAACAGGAGTTGGGAGGGACAAGAAAGGAGGACGATCAAGGTGGGGCCACTTAGGGCCCAGCCTCTGAGGCCATGGTGCTGACTGTGACGATAGGAAGATAAGTGCGGCTGTGGGGTACGAGCTGAAAACATGGACTGAAACTTGCCAGCATGGGCAGAAGCCGTAAGTGCCGGGGAAGCAGCTCAGCTTGGAAAGTGTGGGTCGCGCCCTTCAATGACACCCACCGGCCCTAGCAGCAGAAGCAGGAGGGATGCTAGCCAGGCAGCTGGGGACCCTGATCAGGTCCTCACCCCTCACCCAGGCCTTCTGCCCCTGCCCTGGGCAGACTCAGGCTGGCTGGACCTGCTGATCAGTCCCCTGCGGCAGCCACCCATCAGCCTGCTCTTTGTGAACTGTCTCCCATCAGCAGAGCCAGAAATTCTGTACCCTTAATGCTTGATCTGCTAATTAAATGCTGCGTGCGTGCGTGCCTGGGTGTGTGTGTGTGTGTGTGAGTGTGTGTGTGTGTGTGTGTGTGTGTGTGTGTGTGTTTTATTTACAAAGCACACAGAGCCTGTTGCAACAACAAGGCTGGCTGGAAGGGACAAGGAGACTCCTGAGGGTTTTCATGTGAGATGAGCCCTCAAAGCTGCAAAGATCACAAAGTTCTAGTGGTAACATGGACTCCTAGAAAGGAGGTGAAGTGCAGTTCTGCACCCCAAGCCTCTACTCCTAGGTCCTTCGAACCCCCTGTGCGCTGGTAGCTGTAGAGCTGGGAGCAAGAGCTGCCCTGTGGGGCTCCACGCAGAACTTCCTCCAGAACAATGTGCCAGGCTATAGGACTCTGGGACCCAGTTTCTAGTAGGCAAGCACACAACCACTAAGCTATAGCCCCAGGCTACTTTATCCTATCATGTCCTGTTCTACCCTACCTTACCTCACCCTATCCTGTTTTTTTTTCTTTTTATTGAGTTTATTGGTACAATCTAGGTATACAGTACAGTTACATTCATCATTGGGATTCTGTACCTTTACATAATAGGTCTTGATTCTCATTTTTTCCCCTTGTGCCTGCCCTCCCTTCACCCCCTCCTCCCCTCCCCATTTACAAACACTTTATTTCCATTTTTTCAGTTTCTCATATTTTTTTCCTCTTCCTTATTACCTTTCCCCCACCCTTCCCACTTTCCCTACACCTTTAGCCCTTTACTTCCTATTTCACATTATTAATTATATCATTAGGATCCTGTGTACTATTACAGTTTTTCACACCAAAGAAACTATTCGGTATTTCGGTTAAAGAAATCTCTGTAAGAACATTAAAAATAGGGAATCGTAAAATAAAACTAAAAAGGAAAGTAAAAGAGAAAAGGCAATGATGTAACATTAAAATAATCCTTAATTCTGGAGATGAAAATGGTCCCTGTTTTGAGACAGAATCTGTCAAAGTTGCTGCAGCCAGACTGGAATCTGTAACCCTCCTGCCTCAGCCTCCCTAGTGGCTGGGAGTCATGGTGCTGGCTATGACTACCCTCTTGACGATTGCAATGAGACAGACACGTGGTAGGTAATAACATTATACTTACAGTTTATTAAGCACACACTCTGGGGCAGGCAGGTGCTAAGCGCTGACGTGGGACACATCTGTTCCTTCGGAAAGGGAGGAGCGTTCTGTCATCTCCTTTTACAGGGGGCAACGTGGAGTGCGGAAGATCGCTGAGGGAACTGGCCCAAAGACAGGGAGCCAGGCCAGCTCTGGTCCTCACTCCCAACCATTCTGGGTGCCAGAGGAAGCACGGAGCCCAGGCTCCCTGGTGATGAGGAGTTTCCCATGCCCCAGGTGCACCTGACACCTTCATCCTACACCGTGAATCGGAAACGCGCATGACACGAAAGTGGGTGCATCGTGTGAGAAACAGAAAACTTTCCTCGCACGATGCAAAGCCCAGAAAACGTCAGGAAAAACCTCGACAGACTTGAACAAATAAAACATTTCAAAATCTGGCTATAAAATGACATAAAACTGAAGACCTCGGAAATAGTCATGATCCTTCCTAGTAAGGAACAGCTACATGTACTAGAATTCCAGAACTCTCAATGACAAAACATATGCAGAGGCATTTCCAAGAAGGAACTAAAATGGAGGATAAGCAAATGAAAATAAGGCTCGACCTCATTAATCTTTTTAAAATGTAAATTAACACAAGGTGGGGGGGTATTTTTCCACTTTACAGTTTGCAACCATGAGCTCCACACAGTAGCTCTATTTTCAAGTCCTCACCTCAGGCTTCACTGCAGTTTTCTTCATTTTTATATGCATGACTGCTCTCTTCAATAGTGAGAAATGGCTCCCATCCTCCCCGTACATATCAGCAATATCCCTCCATGTATCCAAATCCTGTTGCCTCTGCCCCTCTGTTATTGGGCTCTGATACCCTCCCCTGAAAAGCTGCCCCTCACCCCACAGGGGATCTGACACAGGCTCCATCCTCCCCACTGCCCGCCATCCCAGAGTCCTCCTCACTGATGGCCATCCCGCTTGGCCACAGCTTTTAATGTAGACATCGCTTAAGGAGAAATTCACCCAGGGCCGGGGATTTAGCTCAGTGGTCCCGCCACCTGCCTCGGAAGCACAAGGACTCAAGTTTGATCCCCGGTACCAAAATAAAACAGATAAATTCACCCATGGGAAATAACTGGTTCAAAGACCATCAGTCTTTGAATACAAACTGCTTCCTTAGAGGTTTGCACCAATCTAATATAGCATCAGAATCACGTCAGAGCCAGATGCAGTGGTGCACAACCTGTAATCCCAGTGTTTGGCAGGCTGAGGCAGGACGACTGTGAGATTGAGACCAGACGGGGCTACATATTGAGTTCCAGGGCAGCCTGGAAGCCCTATCTCAAAACAAACAAATAAAGCACGTCTGAGTG